TGCAATACAAAGCAGAGCCTTCTAAGTGCCCAATAATTAGTCCATAAATGCTATAGGAGTTCAGAAAAGAGTGAAGTAGGTTAGTGGGAAGGTCAGAGATTAATACTAGGAAGTAATGATAATCCTTCCATTTGTTTAGAGTTTTCCAATTTTATTCCTCTTCACAGTTCCAGATACACATCACTGATGACTTTGAGAAGCACAGAATCGTCAAGGAAAACTTTGTCAATAAAAATGACAAAAAGGATGTGCTGTAGTACACAAATAGAAACCTACTTTCAGGAAAGCAGGACACAGCAGAAAGTTTTAGTTTTTAAGAGACCATCTTGTTAGATGTTTTTATTCATTACAATCAATTTTTAGATGATTGTGTTGGATTTTTTAGATAGACAATATCTTTTCTATCTAAAACTTAGTGTTCTCTGTCTTATCTTTCATTGACCAGGACTTCCAGAATAATGCTAAATAGGAACAATGACAATGTTGAATAAGAGCATTTTTTAAAAAATTCCTCACTTTAGTGGAAATGCTGCTAATGTTCCATTATCAAGAAAAGTGCTGCTGCTTTTGTACACACACACACACACACACACACACACACACACACACACACACACACACCCATTATCAAGTGCAGAAAAGTTGCTTCTGTTAATAGGTAACAGGATTTTTTTTTTTTTTTTTTTGAGACAGGCTCTCACTCTGTTGCCCAGGCTGTGGTGCAGTGGGATGATCACAGCTCACTATAGCCTCAACCTCCTGGGCTCAGGTGATCCTTCTGCTTCAGCTTCCTGAAAAGCTGGGACAACAAGTACATGCCAACATGCCCAGCTTATTTTAAAAAATTTTTTGTAGAGACAAGGTCTCCCTGTGTTGCCTAAGCTGGTCTCGAACTCCTGGGCTCAAATAGTCCTCCCACCTGGGTCTCCCTAAGCTGGAACTACAGACATAAGCTACTGTGCCTAACCAGGATTTGAGATATTGGGGTCAGGCATGGTGGCTCACGCCTGTAATCCCAGCATTTTGAGAGGCCCAGGTGGGAGGACTGCTTGAGCCCAGGTATTTGAGGCTGCTGTGAGCTGTGATCATGCTACTGCACTCCAGCCTGAGTGACAAAGTGAGACACTATCACTGAAAAGAAAAAGAATGGGCTTGGATTTTCAGCTTCTACTGCGATTCAGACAACATATTAAACACTTATTATTATGTACATAAACATGAGAAGAAAGACAAAGTCCCTTCTCTCAAGAAGCCTATAATCTTGTAGATGAAAACTGTAAATAAAAATTGCTACACAGTGGGAATATATGTAGCAATAGAAATATGTTCATATTAAAAACGTTTGGGGCTGGGCTCAGTGGCTCAGCCTGTAATCCCAGCACTTTGGGAGGCCGAGGCGAATGGACTGCCTGAGTCCACGGGTTCGAGACCCACCCCGGCAACTTGGCTAGACCTCATCTCTACAATAAATTTTTAAAAAATTAGCTGGGCATGGTAGTGTGTGCCTATAGTTCTAGCTACTTGGAAGGCTGAGGTGGAAGGATAGCCGGAGCCCAGCAGTTGAGGCTGCGGGGGCCGGGAGCATGCCACTGCACTCCAACCTGGGTGACGGAGTGAGACTCCAACTCAAAAAAAGAAAAGAAAAAGTTTGGAAATGAGAGTAAAAATAATAAAGATTGCAGAAAGCACAAAGGCCGCTCTGAAGATGGAAGACAATTATCTGCAGTGACTGGAGGAGGGAGGAGAAAATGATAAAGGAAAGTTTTTGATAAGAAATGGTATATTTAAGGGATGGAAAAAAGAGATCAAAGGAAGAACATGAGCTAAAGGATGAAATCATGAAGCTGTATTTGAAAAACTCTAACCAGTTTGTTATTGTCAGAATATAATAACATCTTTTGAAAATAAGAAATTAAAAGGCTGGAAGGCAGGCAGAGATATTATGAAGAGTTCTATTTATCATGCTGAGGAGCTAGATTTTATGCTGTGATAGGAAGTCAGTGAAGAGTTTTAAGCAGGGGTGAGAGATAGGATTAGGATCACATTTTTACAAGGATCACTTTGACATCAGCAGATGGCTTGGTGTGGGTGGGAAAGGCAGCAGAGAGGCCACTTAAGATGTTATGACAACAGTCCATCTGAGAGAAGACAAAAGATGAAGGCCTAAATTAAGGCAGTGGAATAATAACTGATAATAGAGAACAAGTTTCAGACATATCTGGGAGGTAGAATCAATGGTGGCAAAGAAGCTGGGTATGGTGACTCAAGCCTATTATCCCAGCACTTTGGGAGGCTTGTGGGCTTATAGAATAGAGCCCAGGGGTGCTAGACCAGCCTGGGCAACTTGCTAAGCTCTTGTCTCTACAATAAATAAAAGTATTAGCCAGGTGTGGTAGTCCTCATCTGTAGTTCCAGCTACTTGGAAGGCTGAGAAGGAAGGACCCCCTGAGTCCAGCAGATTGAGGCTGTGGTGGCTGGGATCATGCCAGCTAGGTGACAGAGTGAGACTCTGACTCGAAAAAAAAAAAAAGGCAAATGAGATGCTGGAGAAGATGGTGAGACAGAAACAAATCTCTCTAGCTTTATTCCTAGATTTCAGGTCAGGTTGGATAAGTGGGTAGATGGTTATGTCATTATTGAAGGAATGAGGAAAGAAGAGAAGACAGGTTTGGCAAAGTATTTCGTTCCGGACTGATTTTGTGAGATTATTTGTAAGATATCTAGGGTGAAAGTATCCTTTAGTCATTGCAAATTATAAATCTGAGGCTCAGTTGAAATGTTTTGCTAAAGATGTGAGTGGTTAAAATTGATGAGATAAGTCAGGAGAGGAGGATATGTAGCCATTTAGTTTTTTCCAACACCTTCATTGAGGCATAATTCACATACGATATAATCAATCCATTTAAAGTATACAATTCAGTTGTTTAATTATCACCAAAATCAATTTTACAACATTTTTCACCCCCCCAAAAAACTGTGTACCCTTTAGCAGTCACTTCCAATTTTCCTTCAACTCTTAAAATATATATATATTTTTTTGAGTTGGAGTCTCACTCTGTCGCCCAGGCTGGAGGGCAGTGGTATGCTCCTGGCCACAGCAGCCTCGACCTGCTGGACTCCGGTGATCCTTCTGCCTCAGCCTTCCCAGTAGCCAGAACTACAGGTGAGCGCTCCATGCCCAGTTAGAGAACTCTTTTCACAAAGGGAAGTAAAGGGACTCAGCAGTGATTTTCAAACTTGGCCAGTCAGCAGGATCATCTTGTGGGTTTATAGAATAATTTCAGGAGGGGTAGACAAGAATGAAGAGCTGTTTATCATAATAATTCCGAGATCTATGTAAGGCTTCTCAGTAGGTCTTTGGGTGTATAGATCTAGAGTTTCAGAGTCCTAAGCTAGATAAACATTTTGGATGTATGGACAAAAGGACACACATGAAGCCATATGGGTTGATTAAATCATCTGGTGAGAAAGTAGAGAGTCTAGAACAGAATCTTGGTGAATAATGACACTTAAGGGAAGGAAGACAAAGAGAAAGCAGAAAGGAGACTAAGTAGAAGTGGTTAGAAGGGGAAAAAAGAAAATCAGGACAATGAGAAGTGAGTTTCAAGTGGGAGTGCTGAAAGGTGTCAAAAGTCACAGAGGCCTATTGCTGCTGGATTATTATGTCTCTTTAAAATATAACTGTATTGCCGGGTTCGGTGGTTCAGCCTGTAATCCCGCGCCTTTGGGAGGCTGAGGTGAGTGGACTGCCTGAGCCCGTGGGTTCAAGACCCGCCTAGGCAGCGAGACCTCATCTCTACAATAAATCAAAAAATCAGCCGTGCATGGTAGCACATGCCTGTAATTCCGGCTACTCAGAAGGCTGAGGCGGAAGGATCGCCGGAGCCCAGCAGGCAAGGCTGCAGTGGCCGGAAACGGCCACTGCACTCCAGTCTGGGTGACTGAGTGAGACTCCAACTCAAAAAAAAATATATATATATATAACTGTATTAGCTTATCTAGTGAGTTCTACAGTTATTAAGTCCCTGGAATAGCCTTCTGAAAATGTATAGAATCAAGGCCAAGTGCGGTGGCTCATGCCTGTAATCCCAGCCCTTCGGGAGACTGAAGCAGGAGGATCACTTGAGCCCAGGCAACATAGTGAGATCTCACCTTTACACAAAAATAAAAAATAAAAAAATTATCCGGGTGTGGTGGTTCTCAGTGGGGAGGCAGAGGCAGAAGGATCGCCTGAGCTAAGAAGGATCGCCTATGCCCAGGAGGTTGAGGATGTAGTGAACCATGATCGCATCATTGTACTCCAGCCTGGGCAACAGAGTGAGACCCTCTCCCACCCCACCAAAAAAAAAAAAAAAATGTATAGAACAAAATTGCTGGGATGGATCCTGTGAATCTGCATTTTAAAAAATCGGCCAGGTATGGTGGCTCAGCCTGTAATCCCAGCACTTTGGGAGGCCGAGGCAAGAGGATTGCCCAAGCCCGGGGGTTTGAGACCAGCCTGGACAACTTGGTGAGACCTCATCTCTACAATAAATCAAAAAATAAGCTGGGCATGGTAGAGCATGCCTGTAGTTCCAGCTACTTGAAAGGCTGAGGTGAAGGATCGCCTAAATCCAGCAGGTTGAAGCTGTGGTGGCCATGAGCATGCCACTGCACTCTAGCCTAGGTCACAGAGTGAGACTGCAACTAAAAAAAAAAAAAAACAAAAAACCCAACTTCCTCAGTTGTTCTAATATGCAGTTGGGGTTAAGAACTATTTATTTAAACCACTCAATCCAAAAACCATAGAAACTAAGAGCAATGGACAAAGACCTAAAAAATAAAAATCCAGGTATAATGTCAGAATAATTTCAATAGTATTGGTTAGAATCTCTCATTGGAAGGAATAAAGGCAATTAAACCAGTTTTCCACAATTAAGCCTTATAAGGATGCTATAAGAATAAATTAATACAGAATTTATAATTTTCAAATACTTAAAAAGCTGGTGAATAACAAAAAATTAGGATTAAATAATTTATTTTAAGGAAGCTTTTCTCATGAATCTGTTTCATCCACATATACAATAACATTATATACATTAATAATTGGAGTAGAAACAGCTTAAAAATTACTGTAAAAAACAAGAATGAGATTCTGGAAACAACTGGTGCTCTAAAGAAATCTGGTTTACAAGACAGGAATGTTGATTAAACAATTGACCTAAATTGTCAATTGGAACTAAACATTTTTCTCATTTCTCCACATCAGAGAAGGAAAAGCAACATAATATATTGAGTTTATAAATTCTCCAGATGTCAAAACTGGTCTGGTTGATTAACTGATCAAGTTTAATTCTTTAATTCTGTTTTCTACTCCTCAGTAACTAAATATCAATTACTGATCAACAATGAAGAAAGGTGGAGCTCTAATTTCATCTAATTAATTTTAAAATGTATTATTTTGATAACCAAGTCCTTCTAGCTAAGTAAATGAAACTTTCCTTTAAGGAACAAGTGCATTTTTAACAGATTCTGGAACTCGACTTGCATAGTAGTCATAATTCCTCAGTGTGGCCAGGACCCCTGCGGAGTTCATATGCTTCACATCCTTGTTGTACTGAAGGGCATTCCCATGGATATCAGTTAACTTGCCTACAGAAAAAACATCAACAGAATGTCAATGGCTAATTGGATCATGGTATTTCTAGTTATTTTTAAGTACCATTTGCTTCTCTATCCAATGGTAGCCAATAAATTCCAGATAACATGATAGTGAGTGACCAAAGTTGAAAGTCTTTATTCACTTGAAATTTAAGACTACAGAACAATTTTAACTAAAGGATAAAAAATTTTTCTCTGATTAATTTTATTTAGCATTTTCAATTTGCATTTCTTGGTATCGATTAATTTCTCTTTTCCTAAAGTGGTTACTTTTCCTGTTGATAATACTTCATTAAAACTAGTCACATTTTTAAAATGTTTTATTTATTCTACTCCTGGGGATGCCAAAAAAAAAAAAAAAAAAAAGTATGTATACACATTTTAAGAGATGTTGGCCAGGCTCAGTGGCTCAGCCTGTAATCCCAGCACTTTGAGAGGCCGAGTCGAGTGGATTGCCTGAGCCCGCGGATTTGAGACCTGCCCAGCAACTTGGCAAGACCTCATCTCTACAGTAAAATAAAAAATAGCCGGGCGTGGTAGTGCACGTCTGTAGTTTTGGCTACTTGGAAGGCTGAGGCAGAAGGATCACTGGAGCCTAGCAGGTCAAAGTTGTGGTGGCCATGAGTATGCCACTGCACTTTAGTCTGGGTGACAGAGTGAGACTCCAACTCAAAAAAAAGAGAGATATTATCTATGTATTACTTTTAGTTCTCAGTAATCAGAAGTGTCTGAAAACTGATGGCAACCACTTTGAGCACCTCTTTTATTTGCAAAAATCAAACATGACATTCTATAATTTTAATAGTTTCTTCCTTTCTTAAAATGTGTATACTTAGTCAGGCTCGGTGGCTCAGCCTATAATCCCACGCCTTGGGAGGTCGAGGTGAGTGGATTGCCTGAGCCTGTGGGTTCAAGACCCGCCTGGGCAACTTGGCGAGACCTCAATTCTACAATAAATCAAAAAATTAGCCAG